CACTAAGGAGGGGAGCCGGCCGCCCGCCGCAACCAGTGTTAAAAGGCACGGGGAAACGGGTGTGAACGCAACACCCGCCCGTCGTTTCCATCCTCAGGATGTTCAGATCAAGTTCAAATCCGTCTCCTCCACGCAGCAACTCTTGATCCGGGCTGGACAGGCAACTTTATCTCATGCGGGCTGCTCCCTTGAAGCGCACCACTGCTCCCATGGGAGCACACCCGTAGCCGGGTGCAGAGAGTGCTTGGGGGGCTGGTCGGCCTGTCCATTCGGACGGGCTCAGCCCCGGTGACTCTCTAGGGTGCCTGTCCATACCAATGTTTCTCCCAATTCCTATAATCCTTCCGGCTCTGCAATGGTCTCAATGGACCGAAAGGGCCTAACCCAACAAAACAAAAACAAACAAAGGTTAAGAACGGATTAAATTACGGAGTCTCTCTAACAGCTGGAATGTTACCATAACATGGAAATGTTACATACTTTATTCCCTAATCAGCTGGAGCATGCATAATGATCCAAATGTTTCTAGTTATGCTTGAGTTGTATGAGCAAGAAGCACGTCCTCGCAACTTTAACGTCGTTTTTGGCCGTATAGGTACACGAAGACCTTTCCTCATCCGTCTGCCCATAGTAAGAGTTCATCCCCTGTTCCTATCTAGACGGTCACCGGCTACCAGTTGGAGTAGATAACATCGGAGCAAATCCAACGAGCTGGCCATTAACGAGACTATAGGTGGACCTCGGCCCCTGTTTCACGATACGACCCTCCCCGCCGCTACAAGGTATCGACACTTAGCCGGTTTTCATTAAGACGTTGGCAACATTGTGAAGTTTGCTTACGTTTCCATAGGAACGGAGGCACCCATACCTGATGATGTTAGGTACTGGGTAGCAGCGTGCCGCTAAACAGTGACTATAGCTTTGGCCCCGAGGCTGGTTTAGCCACGTGTTACATCTCAAGATATCTGTGGCTTAGAGCCAGGTCAGGTCATTTTGCACCCTATATATTGCCTCATATTCAACATTCTCTATATATATTAATATATATAATACTAATAATAAGTCAATAAGAGCAAATTGAAAGGCGTCTCATTTGGTCTGGGCGGGTCATTCTTAACACCCTCAAACATCGGGTTACATGGGTAACAGTGACATGAAAACGGTCAACAGCAGTTTTTTTTACTATAACTTTTGATAGACGTGCTAGTGCGATGAAAACACGTCAGATGTGTTCAGCTCGACGATACGGATCGACTGATATGCAGCATGACCCTTTCCGGTCAGGTCATGACCTTGGCCTGACGTAGAATTTTCAAAATGGCCTTTCAAGGTCAACCTACGAGTATAGTTCATTCGACGCGTCTCGACGAGAGGAACACGATGCTGGCAAAAGTAATGTCGTGGCTCGTTTAAGTCTTAAGTTATTACCGAAAAAAAAAACGTTTTTCGTAAACACGCCTATTTTTTGAGTTTTTGCCCTCTGGAGGCTACACCGTTGACCTGAGGTCAAATATATGAATAAAACTCAGAAAGACCTGTGAAAGAGCTATCGAATGCGCTTTTCCGCGGCGCTGTAGTTCTATTGGTTCTCAAGTTATGTGTCGGGTGTTTCGAAAACTGTTGAAATAGACAAAATTTGCCTTTAATGACCTCTGGTAACCTGACCTTTGACCTGACCTAAAAAATGACTGAAGTATTTCCGACATTATTTTTACGCTCTTTGGAATGCCGCTTACCCCGTGTGGCTACGTGGCCCAGAAGCCGAGTTAGGGGGGGGGGGGGGCGGGCGGGGGTTTCATACACCCTCGGCCCGGCGCGGTTGGTACCGTGTACCGGCCCGGCGTGGGTTTTTACTTTATGCAAGTATATTTGTGAAAGTTACAGGTTTAATTTAATCGGCAGATGAATATTTATCAAAAATATACTCATGAAATATATGCAAGAGATGACAGCGATCGGAAAATTACCCATTTCACGATGGACGCTAGGTCGCCCACGTGGGTATGAAAACAACGATTTTCATGACAAAGGATACAAGCTCAAATACTTAACCTGTCTCTAACGATTCTTGCCATTCTCATTTATACCATAGATATCTTCTAAGCTAGCTGAGAAACCATGTTCCGCAGAAAAATCACTTAATTAGCTCCGACACGATGCCCTCAACACGCACGAGGCCGGCCGCTTCCTTAGTGAAGATAGTTCACCTAAATGCCCACCAGGTGGCAGGGGAGACAGGTCGCGGGGGGGAGTTGCCGATCCGTTATGTGATCCGTGGGTGAGGTGCGCAAAGTAAAAGTTATCACATGACATTTCACAGGGTTCAGGTGCAAGTTAACCAAGCGCGAGACCAGTCTACCAATGCATTGATGTCAGCTTGCAATGTATGAACATCATCTTCACAGCGAACCATTTTGTGCAGTTTGATATCATCCGCATACATCGTGCACCCGTGCTTGACATGAAGCGGGATGTCGGCCGTGTAGCACGCGAACAACAAACTACTGCACACACTTCCCTCCGGCACGCCCGACAGCACAGGTGTCCATGTTGACTGCTTCCCGTTGACAACAACACGCTGTTTACGGTCACTAAGGTATGAATGAAGCCAGTTGTATGCAAGACCCGTTACGTTGAAAGACTTGTTTAGCTTATAGAGTTAAAGTTCGTGATTAACACTAGTGAAAGCGGAAGAGAAGTCGGTATAAATAACATCAGTTTGTTTGCCTTCGGCAATGGCACCCCATACATCGCTCATGAAACATGTAAGATTGGTCACACAAGATCGGTTTGATAAAAAACCGTGTTGGCTCAGCGGCAGCACAGGACGGCAGTGAGACATCAGACAGTCGTAAACAACCTTTTCTAAAACTTTAGAACAGAGCGGTAGCAGTGAGACCGGACGATAGTTTTCCGGGCGACGTTTATCTCCTTTCTTGTGCACTGGCACCACGTTGGCTTGTTTCCACCGAGATGGAAACATCAACAATATTCATCGTTCGAGGGCGGATACAGTTGTAAGAATACAAACAATATTTTTGCACAGCTCTGTTCCTTGAAAAATTCTCTTCAACGCCTTATTCCTAGTTAAGCGAATTAGTCTACCCTGGTTGAATAAATAAGGCGACTTCGCCAAAAGGTCGCGGATACCCGACCGAAAACGGCCGCGCTCAACGTTAATTTGGGCATGTAGACTCTAAAAAACTCGCATCGGGCGGATAGGGTTTCCGAGGTATTGGCTCCAAAACAACGTATTTGGCTCCCAAATACGTGTACGTCCAAGTGATCCGCCTCGTTCCTAGCTAAGCTCTTATTAGATCAAGTGACTCATAAGGAGCGAAAAAGCGACAAAAAACATGAATTTCCCTATAGCGGCGGGCTGCCGGGTTGCCAGACGGCGCACCGGCTATTTCCACTTTTGACACACCATCTTATCTGAGATTTGACCTAAGGTAAACGTTTTAGCCTCAAAATATACGTCTACGCGGGAGACTTTTACCTGTAATACCTTTTGGCTCAGACCTGCACGAGATTAGTTTAACCGGCATCGTGTTCCATTTTTCGAGACTAGTCAAATGAACTAGAATTTGACATTAATAGGCTATTTTGAGAATTTGACCTAAGGTGAAGGTCATCACCTAGCCGGGAAAGGTCATATTACGTATTAGTCGATCCGTATTGTCGAGAAGGAAAATAAAAAAGGTGTTTCATTGCTCTGCCATATCTCTATCAGAAGTTATTGTCCAAAATCTACTGTAGACCTTTCATGACCTGAGATGACCTCAGTAACATAATAATGGTCACATCACGAGTGAAATTTTCCAATGAAATGTGTCATATTTACCTGTATCTCGATGTTTGAGGGTGTTTTCGTTCAGAAGAAGAGCATTTCAATTTTTCCCATAAAACCGCGCCGTGCTGGGGGACGTTTTTACGCCTTCCCCCTAGGTTTTTCGCGAATATCTCAAAAACGGCGCCGCGCAGCGCCATCGTTTTTTGTACACCTGTTTATACATCTTTTCCACACATCGTGAAAAAAAAAATTCAGACCCGGGTCGTTCAAGATCAGGTCACCAGGTCACTTGACGTGACCTGGTGAAAAAGTCAAAAGACTCAGAAAAAGAAAAAGACTCGCTATAGCTACACCGACTGAACGATCACTTTTGAAACTTTCAGAGATTGAAAAGACTAACAATATGTATAAAATGTTTATCTCGAACTTTTGATACTTGTGTCAAGGTTAGGCCAATTTTGCGACCCCTCCATTACCTATAAGTGATAGGAGAAAATTTAAATGCGCCTCTTCTGGACGAATGTCGTTCAAAACCCTCTCAAACATCGGTTCATTGGAAAACATAACACATTGAATCGGAAAAAAATGCACATGTGACCCTTCTGTATGCCCCTGAGATCATCTCAGAGGTCATGAACGGTCACCAGCAGTCTTTTGGCTATAACTTTTGGTAGAGGCGTGCTAGAGTGGTGAAATCATAACAGATGTGTTCAGCTCGACGATGCGGATCGACTGATATGCAGCATGACTCTTTCCGGTCAGGTCATGACCTTGACCTGAGGTCAAATCATCAAAATGACCTTTCAATGTCAACGTATACTTCATTCAACGCGTCTCGATGAGAGGAACACGATACTGGCAAAATAAATGTCGTCACTGTCTTGAGTCAAAAGCTATTGCAGGAAACGTTTCTCATAAAAACTGATATTTTTGGAGTTTTTGACATCTGGAGGCTAAACCGTGAACCCGAGGTCGGATTTGAGAACACTTTTCAGAAAGGCCTGTAAAATGGCTATCGATGTGCTTTTCCGCGGCGCTGTGGCTCTATCGGTTCCCGAGTTAGCCGTTGCCAGTTTCCAAAATTGTTGAAATGTACTTAATTTGACCTTTGAATTGATGACCTCTGGTGACCTGACCTTAAAACTGAATAAAGTGTTTCCGTCATAATTTTTGACGCTCTTTCGATTGCCGCTTACCGCGTGTCGCTACGTGGCCCAGAAGCCGAGTTCGAGGGGGCGCGTGAAAACGCTCTTCCCCAACGTGACACTGAAAACACAAGCCACCAGCACGACGCGGGGGTCACTTTGGATCAGTGAGTGAGCCTGTATATTTCTTTTTGCAAAGAATAAAGATTGTGCTTATCAATCAACGTATATTTTACCGTTTCGAATTCGCATGGATGTATATTTTGATAATAAAATGTCCGTAGTTTCCTATATCGTGGTAAGTATTCATCAAGATCAAGGGTTTTTGATAAAAAAGCACCGGGCTCAAAATTGCATTAATTGGATTTTATGAAAAAAAACAGCGAAATCTGGTTTTTATACTCGTATTTTGCAACACTTGGTAAATCATGCATGGACATGACGTTACATTTTAGACCGACGCCCCTGTCGCGAGCTGACAATGCCACCCCTCTCAAGGGAAAAAGTCGCCCCCTCGAGCACCATGCCCCCCCCCCTTTCGCTGATTTCTGGCTACGCCACTGGACGTCTCTCACCAGCTAGTGCGTCGGTCGAGCTCCGGCACTGTGCGGGGTTCGGTGGGCGCCGGGTAGTCCAGGTCCGTCTCCGGCACTGTGCGGGGCTCTGTGGGCGCCGGGTAGTCCAGGTCCGTCTCCGTCTGCGGCAGCTGCAGCCGCCAGAGAAGAGTGGCCGAGCGCCGGCCCGTCCACCGCGGCCGGCCGGCCACTGCAACGGACCGCCACCAGCCGTCACATGGCTGACAGTACACTGCCGCCACTGGAACGGACCGCCACCAGCCGTCACATGGCTGACAGTACACTGCCGCCACTGCAACGGACCGCCATCAGCCGTCACATGGCTGACAGTACACTGCCGCCACTGCAACGGACCGCCATCAGCCGTCACATGGCTGACAGTACACTGCCGCCACTGCAACGGACCGCCACCAGCCGTCACATGGCTGACAGTACACTGCCGCCACTGCAACGGACCGCCACCAGCCGTCACATAGCTGACAGTACACTGCCGCCACTGCAACGGACCGCCACCAGCCGTCACATAGCTGACAGTACACTGCCGCCACTGCAACGGACCGCCACCAGCCGTCACATGGCCGACACTGAACGAGTCGTGGGGGGGGGCAGGGGTATCCGACCGTCACATAGCTGACACTGAACGAGTCGTGGTGGGGGGGGGGCAGGGGTATCCGACCGTCACATAGCTGACACTGAACGAGTCGTGGGGGGGGGGGCAGGGGTATCCGACCGTCACATAGCTGACACTGAACGAGTCGTGGTGGGGGGGGGGGGGCAGGGGTATCCGACCGTCACATAGCTGACACTGAACGAGTCGTGGTGGGGGGAGGGAGGGGTATCCGACCGTCACATAGCTGACACTGAACGAGTCGTGGGGGGTATCCGACCGTCACATAGCTGACACTGAACGAGTCGTGGTGGGGGGCAGGGGTATCCGACCGTCACATAGCTGACACTGAACGAGTCGTGGTGGGGGGGGGGCAGGGGTATCCGACCGTCACATAGCTGACACTAAACGAGTCGTGGTGGGGGGGGGGGGGGCAGGGGTATCCGACCGTCACATAGCTGACACTGAACGAGTCGTGGGGGGTATCCGACCGTCACATAGCTGACACTGAACGAGTCGTGGTGGGGGGGGGGGGGCAGGGGTATCCGACCGTCACATAGCTGACACTGAACGAGTCGTGGTGGGGGGAGGGAGGGGTATCCGACCGTCACATAGCTGACACTGAACGAGTCGTGGGGGGTATCCGACCGTCACATAGCTGACACTGAACGAGTCGTGGGGGGTATCCGACCGTCACATAGCTGACACTGAACGAGTCGTGGTGGGGGGCAGGGGTATCCGACCGTCACATAGCTGACACTGAACGAGTCGTGGGGGGAGGGGTATCCGACCGTCACATAGCTGACACTGAACGAGTCGTGGTGGGGGAGGGGTATCCGAGGCTAATTTCCTATTTCAAAATCAGTACGGTTTGGGGACCAAAAGTTTTTGACCTGAAAGTGACCTGACCTAAGGTTAATTCAACTCAAAATGACCTCAAATGACACAAACGACATCAAAATCGAACTATATGACCTAAATGGCCCATTAAACATGTGTCACGTGACCGACACATGATATAATATTTCCGTGACCTGTGATGACCTGACCCTAACCTGAAAATCAAAGTACAAGTTTGGTACCCTCAGGGTATCTGAAGCATCTATTCACGAGTGTGCAAAGCAAAATGAGCCTGATCTGACTTGTAAGACGGCGGCCAGAGCCGAAAATGAGAACAAGCCAAAATGCCAATAATTTTTACGTTGACCTTACCTGTGACGTCATCAGTGACCTCGAGGGCAATGAAATTAGGTTTCGCTCGACAGTTTTTTCCGGGGCTATCAGACGCCGTTTGAATTTTGACGATCAGCCCAGTAGTTTCGGAGTTAGGAGGGGGGCTATGAAGAGCCCCCCCCCCGTAGGGCGTGTTATACGCAGACCCCAGTGGGGCGCGGGCTAAGAAATGCACAGGCAATCTTATGGTCAAAGAATTTTGAAAACTGGCCGGTAAAAACATGAGTTATGAGTGTGCTGGCTTTTCAGGCTTTTCACAATTTTTAACTGATGGTTAAAGAGAGTAATAGTACATCGTGCCCTGGACATTATGAGCCCTGGCCTTAATAATATGCACCTGACCTCTTTGGGACAATGTGAATACTGGCCTCTTTGAATATACCCTATCTGCAGCCAGTTGGCCACAATTGGACGGCCTAGACATTATCCCGCGCGGGGCTGGGGTCTCCAGCCGAACGCGCGGGGCTGGGGGGGGGGGTAAATTTTACCCCCCCCCCCCTGTTATCTCCCGAACTAATGGTCCGATTTGGAAAATTCAAACGCCAATCGAAAGCTCTCATTACGAACTACTAAAAACATGTACTTAATTTAAAGTTTGAGGTCAAGGTCAAGGTCAGGTCAAGGGTAAAAAATTGCAAGTTTCTACAGTATCGGCCTTGCACCGTAGTTGCCGAAGAATGAGTCATGGACTGAGACTGATCGCCCAAAACGTGTTCTTAGGCTACCAAGACAATATTCGTTGCATACAATATCATTCAGAGGTCAAGGTCAAGGTCAGGTCAGGTCAGGTCAGGTCACCAAAAAAACAAAATATAGAAAAGGGCATGTGCGACACATGTTTTATGGGTCATTTTACTCATAGAATTCAATAGGCACACTCAATAAGTGATATGGACCACCTTTGGATGAATTTCAGGTCGAGGTCAGGTCAAGGTCAGGTCAAGTGAGGTCAAATTTTGAAGTTGGTTGTTAAGGCCTAAAAAGGTGTCTATCTGATGCAGTTTTTCACGGCAAATCGAATGGTGCTATTTTTGTTTCCGTACGAGGTCTAGAACTTCCGAAAAAGTCATTTTTCAAAAAATTTGTGTGTCGTGACGTCATAACATTTTGAATAACTCCCACATTTTTGAACCGATTCTTCTAAAATTTGGTATGTAGGTGCACATAGACCACTTCTCTGACATATATTCCGGTTTTTTCGATAGACTCAAAATTTTGGATTTTATAATGATTTTCCCAAACAAATCAGTTTTTTGAAAAAAATTAGGCCAAAATCCAAAATTTTCAAAAAACCGAGATAGCCATTTGATAGACAAAGTAAAATTACGTATAACCTTTTTTGTTACGTCTTGATTCCTTTAAAAATGAAGATGTTAGCGGCGTTTGAACTTTTGCCGTTTTTGAGGCGAAAATGGCGAACATGACGTCACTAAAACGTCAATTTCTCAAAAATTTTCCGACGGATTTCGCTCAAATTTTCAGGGAACGTGTCAAATTGATGTAAGAAAAGGTACAAACTTGCCGTTTTTGAGATATCGCAAAAATTCGCGAGGGGGGGGGGGGTAAAATTTACCCCCCCCCAGCCCCGCGCGGGTTATGAGCTATAGTCCATTCAAGGTACTAGCCAGTTCGAGCACTGGGCACATCGTGCCCTGGACATAATAGCCGTTTTTACGACGGCCATCTGGTACACATTTGATGCACGTCTGGTACAGATTTGGTCAAATCAGGTCAAATGGTCAAATCCTCGCCAACATCTCCACAACAGAACAGGAAGTCCTCTATTATCTTAACTCTATTGACCCCAACAAATCAACAGGACCAGACAATATTCCCACAAAATTCCTAAAAATGACAGCACTTCTAATAGCAAAACCTTTGGCCATGTTGTTCAATGCTTCACTGTCTAGCGGTATATATCCAAAAGCATTTAAAGAAGCCAATGTTCGGCCAATATTTAAAAACAAAGGTTCACCATCTGACTTCACTTCTTACCGTACGATAAGCCTACTGTCACCATTGTCAAAAATATTTGAAAAAATAGTTCACAAGCAAATGTACTCCCACTTCACCGAAAATAATCTACTTACAGATAAACAAAGCGGATACCGGAAACAACACAGCACACAGGATCAACTACTTTACTTAACTGATAACCTTTACAAATCACTTGACGATGGACACAATTTTACTGCTATTTATTTGGACATATCTAAATATTTTGATGCTATTTGGCATAAGGACTTACTTTATAAATGCAAACACGAATTTGGGATAACGGGACAGTTGTTAAATTGGCTCAAGTCTTACCTGACTGATAGAAAGCAAAGGGTAATTTTAGGCAATGATCTTTCACCGCTTTTGACTTTGAAAGCGGGCTGTCCGCAGGGATCGGTTTTAGGATCTCTACTAGCATTAATTTATTTAAATAAACTATCTACCAAGACAAAAAATGGCATTCTCTTCTTCGCCGACGACACTTCTCTATACTCTCCCCACGCGACAGACATACAACTGACACAGACTCCACTTCAAGACGACCTGGACGTTATTTACAACTATGGAGAAGACTGGGCTATAACATTTAACCCTGCAAAAACCATTCAACAAACTTTTTCCCACCAACGCACTCCGTAAATTCTAAAATTAACATTCGGAGGACTCCCCATACCAATGAAACAAAATCACACTCACCTAGGTGTAACTCTATCTACCGACCTACGATTCAACGAACATATAAACCAAGGCCATCTATAGAAGGTACAGTCACTCCCCGCCGACCAATCAGAGACAGATCCTGAGTGACGTCAACCCTGATGCTCGCAAGGGGTACTCCATTCCTTTACGACGTAAAAATGACTAACTTCATTTGAAGATTGTTGGTGACACTCTACACATATCGCTCAGCCGTTGATGTCATTGGAAAGTCCAACCAATTTTCTAGCGATAAAAAAGAGCAGCAATATGCTAAGAAATGGCCGGTTTTGAAGATATAGACGATTTAAAAATGCTCTGCAGTTGCAGGAAAGCAACGTTAAAACGCATCGAGCTAGTATATGTTTACTATGAATAAATCATTTTTCAGTAAGCTTTTAGATATGGTATTGATTTAATCAACAACTTTATTAAAATATTTCTATTACTTGTAACTTTATTTCAAAATAATATTTTAAAAAATGGCAACTGTTGGCAAGTAGCTTTGAAGCGATCGTTGCGCACCGCGCCATTATTGTCCTGAGGCCCCCTTATGATGTCATCAAAAGTGGAGTGACATGGGCCGATATAAACAATATATGCCAAAAAGTAAACAAAACACTTATAGTTCTTTTTTTCAAAAGGCTCATGGCCCG